CGGATTAGTTAGGCGAGGAGCTTAACGTATCAATAAAACCTGCAAAATGAAAATGTTTTCAAAATTTCCTATTAATAGCGGACCCTAAGCACCAAAACGCAAGCTGGCCGAGTAACCGGAAAACAAGTTTAACTTAATTGTAAAACATGATAGAAATCTAAAGCACTAGACTTGGTAAACTTGCATCGCTTGATATGAACGAAAAATAAAGAAAATTTGCTGTCATTTGCAAGTTATTTGGTGCCTACGTAGAGCGACGTTATCTTCCGATGACAAAAATAACGCAGTGGTTTCGCTATCATAAACATCGCACCAGAAGTAAAGGGTGAATGGATTAGCTTTAGCTATTCTAAATAGTGATATGCATCTAACTGGGTACAAGGTGTCGTAGGAGTACCACTATATCTTAGTTCCGACTTGGTTGGCCAAAATGCAGCCTTTCTAAGCGTACATACTAATAAATAGAAATGAGTGAAATAAAAGCGCGCTAAAACGCTAAGAAGCCCTAAAATAAGGTTGCTAATATTCGAAACGTTTCGACATAGTTTAATTAGTCCTAAGTCGAAAGGCCATATCTGGAGGATTCTCGTGAATACTGAGCTGTACCAAGCACTGCAAAGCTAGCTACCAAGTTTTTATAACCCAGTGTGGTGGCGCTTATAGCTGCGGAATTACAGCGAATGTGGCCAAACTATAAGGGGCGTGGTCCTAGGCTGTTAAAACTTGTGTTTAAATCACACCCAACAGCACAAAATCTACTAAAGAACTGGACTAAATTCCCTTGCAGATTGCCAACAGAAATTCGTCTGTAAGCAGCAGGAACACCAGCACCTTTGAATGAAAATTCAGTAGTGGCACAACGCTTAATGAAACCGCCAACTGCAGGGCCCGACTCGGGGACGGTTTCAACAGTAGCAATAATATCCGGATAGACAGAGCAGAGCAGAACAAACTCCGGGATCCAAAGCATCTGATACATGACTACATACCAAATTCGTCGAGAGTCGGCAACCCATTCAAAAACTATTAGTCGCGGACCCTTTATTGGTCGGCGTAAACTCACTTGCTTCATCTATCCAACTGAACACCCTTTTGGTCTCAGAGAAGCTCTCATGCATGTACATAAATGCCTAAGATCTAGGCAGCAAATCAGCTGAAGTAATACTACGACACGCGGCTGCAGCTTGGGACCTATTCGCTGTCACCGAAGCTTGGTTGCGCTGTGCGATAATGGATGCTGAAATCGCGCTAACGGGGATGTCCGTTGTCCGGAAGAATCGAGCCAGCATAGGTGGTGCGGTAACCCTATACTCGTAACAGCATGCCATGCGAACCCATAAAGGATTCGGAAACCGGCGTACCGGATGCCGTTTGGTGTAATTTCCGGCTGAGAGGGAACAAGCTTAGCCTCTCTATATATTTGAGAATAAAATATGTTTAAAACAGTTAGTCCCCTTCAGTAGTTTGAACAACGAAATGAGAAGACGAATATTGGCAGATGCTAGCATTTCGTATTATCTCGTCAGTACCAATACAATAACAGGGAAATCCTTTTATATATCTTACAGGGCACAGTCAAACCAATCACATTTATTGTTGTGGTCATTGTTATCAGATTACGTCCACGGCAACCGCAGGTTGACAACTAATTGCTTTTGGACACACAAAGCTGGTCTAATTCGGCTTATCGCGACGGCCTCGGCAAATCGTAAAAGACGTGCATTAGTATGACGTAACAAGATCCGGAAAGCTGATAAGGGCTTGACTTGGTGACGAGTCGCCAAGATGCGCCTGCATATGGAGGACGCTGGTGGCTTACGCGAACACGTTTCATCGGAGGTGGATTGGGTACCTTCACGCTGAACCCAGTTTGGTAGGTGTTCCTTCACTCGGGAATCTAAAACCCGTTCGGTCCTTCCGATGTAACTGATACCGCAGTCACACACGAATTGGTAGACACAATGGGATTTGGCGCCGACGGGTTCATCTTCCTTTACTGAAGGTAACGGCAACTTTCGGTTTCTGTTGATAATTACCGCCTCCGCAGCACAGTATGTAGCTGAATGGCCGTGACAATCCGTTTGGTTATCCTTTTCGTTGCAGTGTCACCCTTGAATGGGAGCTCAATGTACACCTTCTTCTTAGGGGCTGTCAACACCATCTCCTTGGGCGGTCTAACTTGGCTATGTTTGTCTATGAATCGCTTTGGGTAGTCATTCTCCATAAGTATCTTAGTGATCAGTTCCAACTCTTCAGCCAGGCAGTCGTTGGAGCAGATACGTCTGGCCCGAGTGAATAATGTTTTTACTAGCGCGCGCTTGTGTGCCATTGGTGAGAATCTAGTGAAGTGTAGATATTGGCCGGACCACGTTGGCTTCCGGTATACATATCGCTTAATCAGCCCATTATCCCTGCGACTCATGAGAATGTCGTGGTACGGAAGGCGCCCATTCGATTCGAATTCAAAAGTCACATTCAGGTTGGCGTGAACATTATTAAGTTGATCTACTAGTTGTTCGATTTGCATCTTTGTGGAACCGAAAACAAGGATATCATCCACGTATCGTTTGTAATACGGTAGCTGAGAAATCTGTCCACTTAGTTTCCTCTCAACTAAGTAGACAGATTTCTCAGCTACCGTATTACAAACGATACGTGGATGATATCCTTGTTTTCGGTTCCACAACGATGCAAATCGAACAACTAGTAGATCAACTTAATAATGTTCACGCCAACCTGAATGTGACTTTTGAATTCGAATCGAATGGGCGCCTTCCGTACCACGACATTCTCATGAGTCGCAGGGATAATGGGCTGATTAAGCAATATGTATACCGGAAGCCAACGTGGTCCGGCCAATATCTACACTTCACTAGATTCTCACCAATGGCACACAAGCGCGCGCTAGTAAAACATTATTCACTCGGGCCAGACGTATCTGCTCCAACGACTGCCTGGCTGAAGAGTTAGAACTGATCACTAAGATACTTATGGAGAATGACTACCCAAAGCGATTCATAGACAAACATAGCCAAGTTAGACCGCCCAAGGAGATGGTGTTGACAGCCCCTAAGAAGAAGGTGTACATTGAGCTCACATTCAAGGGTGACACTGCAACGAAAAGGATAACCAAACGGATTGTCACGGCCATTCAGCTACATACTGTGCTGCGGAGGCGGTAATTATCAACAGAAACCGAAAGTTGCCGTTACCTTCAGTAAAGGAAGATGAACCCGTCGGCGCCAAATCCCATTGTGTCTACCAATTCGTGTGTGACTGCGGTATCAGTTACATCGGAAGGACCGAACGGGTTTTAGATTCCCGAGTGAAGGAACACCTACCGCGCTCTGTTCTCAATTGTTCTTCAACTGGCGGTGTGGGGATCTAGTCCACCGATCATTTTCCTTCTCTCTGATTGCTGATATGCTACTCTGACTTAAGTGGTATACGCTACACAGACTCAACGCTCTTGATCTCTTACTACGTGAGGCTGCTAGACACGCTCACCTTCTGTTACAGCCCCTTTTCCTGCCTTTAATTTTACGTGCTATTCCTACGCGCCGACTAATCTAGTCTCGCTAGATCAGCCACTTGTTTCCAGTTTTACTTAGAGTTATTCCACGTTACAAACCTTGGTTCGGCTGACTCGACATCTGGCTTACATCACCTGGAAAGCCTCGTTGCCTCCCTCACTCCTTATCAGTAAACCTTTTCATACCGACCCTAACCTTTTCTCATCTCGCTTCCTCTTTTCATTCCCCTTATTAATCGGACGACCAGCTTACTGCCCTGCCGTGATCCTGTCTCACCGGACTAGTCTGTTAATCTCTGACTGCTTCCATGATACCGAGCCTTAAACGGTATTGGCTCCGCAGAGTTAACTCTATTACCCCACATTATTGTTATAGCCTCATTCTTATCTGCATTGTACGACCTAGTCCCAAAGGGCCGATTAATCCAATACCGCTTAGTCGGCCTCGTAATCACTATATTCATTTGGACTTCTGAGACATCACTTCCATTGGTCCGGCTGACCTATTGGTCCTGTTAACACTACTCGGAGAGCCTCGTGGGCTTTTCCACTCCTTACCAATAAACCTTTCTCACCCCGACCCTATCCTTTTCTTCTCTCGTTTCTGTTTTCATTTCTGTTTAACTCGGACGTCCGGCTTTACTGTCCTGCCGTCATCCTCTCTCACCTGACCTGTCTGTAACTTTCCGCCTGGTTTTATTTCCTATTATCCTTGGCCTTTTCTCTTATTGCGCTCCAATTTGTATTCCCACAGCTTACACTCATTGCGCCTATCCAAGTTATCCTCGTGTGCATGATCTCATTCGCTCTGAGCTCGCTCCTGAGTATTGGCGGCACTCGGACCATTGCTAATTGTTGCTTGACTAGTACTTGCATTAGTATGCTCAACATACCACTCTTCCTATTCCTATGCTCTTTACCTTATGCTCGCACTGGTATACTATTGAGACCGTACGTGTCATAACGACACCCAATGCACGGCAGTTTTGGCCCCCTGTGACCATTTTCCTAGATTCTGAAGGCATTTGGACTGTAGAATCATAAACGCTTTAGTGTACTTACTCTTATGAACTACTCCTCGTTTTGCCGTCAGCATTCATCCGCTCCTAGCCGATTCCTTGAAATTCCTTTTCGTCTTGGAATGTTGCTCTACCTGTCTTGCTCCCGCATTCGGTCTCAACCTAGTTGTCCTCAGTTTCACCTAAGATGCCTCTCGCATTCTGGCTTCTGCCATCATCATCGCATCATTCGCTTAACTTTTGTTAAAACGCTTTGTTATATCGGTCTTTTGACCCTGCGCGTGCAGAACCTTCTTCCCACGCAGTAGCTATAGTCTGAGTCACACCAGCGACGTAATGTATAGAACGCGCTTGCGAATTATGTATACTAAACAAAAGTACATAAGTTTGAAGGTATCATAGGCACCGGTGAGCGCCACCAGTCTGTGTTATTGCTTCTTGATTCATTGATGTCTCTGTTTGGCCACCTCTTGTCCGTTGCCCGTTTTTCCCGAGATTCCCACAGGTACATCCGCCAAAACAAGAAGGTTTATCCACTGGGACTGGCCGACCCATCCTCAAAACGCTTGGTCCTTTCTCCAGGAAATGGGAAACCCACACACTGGTCCAAATGGAGCTCATTCCGCCATTCCGGAGGCGCTACCTTCATGGGGTCTAAACAAATGGGTTTAGCTTGCCTCGTACTCAGAGAACAATTTACTCACCTGGAAGAATATATGTGCATGGATCCCCCGTTCCACAGTCGAAGACAAACAACTCTGGCGTGATTACGTTCACTGCCTCAAACATTCCTATTCGCCAGTCACCTGGAGCTATTCTGATGTCACTTTACGGACAGCGTTGCGCACGTATACGTGGTTATTCCGATGGTTCCATGGAATTTTCACTTGGCTACGGAAACAGTTACACTTACTTACATTTGCAGGAATCCCAAATCCAATTTGCGGAGAATGGCGTTTTTACCTATTAAGGACATATTCAGCCACAAGAAACAACTGCACTCACCAACCCCATGACAAGTCCAGCGAGGATAGTTGGACATGGTTTGCGAGCCGAGCAAGAATATAATAGAAGAGCCGGCCTCTATTAACAATGTGTTTACTCACCTGCAGCATTATCAATCGACTCTTCGAATCTTGCATCATTGACCAGCTTCAACGACTGCTGGCGTATCAGAACTAAGCCATTCGGCCAACCAACGAAGAATTTTGGCTGTCAACTGACTGCGAATAATAGAACGCAAAATCGGTCTATACGATGCATAACCGACTTGCACTACTGTTTACCGAAAGCTACGGCAGTGTTCCAGGACGTGGTGGGTTTTCGCCTGGCAAGCGTTCTCCCTATAAAAAGCCACAAATGTCCGCTTAACAACACTGCAACGTGGCGGATGTGACTCGCCACAAAATAAAGTCACAGCTATGCATTTCACACTGACGCAGTCCTCAGCCTTCTACATCGAACCTGTGCAACTAATTCTGCTATGAACAATGCTTTGTTGGAGCACAGATCATCTCTATCTCGGATCACTACCTGGCGTAATTACCCCCAACTTGTGTTTTGACGGATTTTTGCGCGCCACAGCGCCATAATGTCCCTGGGTCTGACTATTACCTGACAGTATGCTCACTCATACGGACAACATCTTTTCTTTTATAACTTTCATAAAAACGAAATGTTTTAACATTCCACAGAAGCTATGCTTGTATGCATATTTGATCACGCCTTTACAGGTGTGTCTCGTTTTACCGAGAATATACTATTTATTTATTTATTTATTTACCAAACTGGGTTCAGCGTGAAGGTACCCAATCCACCTCCGATGAAACGTGTTCGCGTAAGCCACCAGCGTCCTCCATACGCAGGCGCATCTTGGCGACTCGTCACCAAGTCAAGCCCTTATCAGCTTTCCGGATCTTGTTACGTCATACTAATGCACGTCTTTTACGATTTGCCGAGGCCGTCGCGATAAGCCGAATTAGACCAGCTTTGTGTGTCCAAAAGCAATTAGTTGTCAACCTGCGGTTGCCGTGGACGTAATCTGACAACAATGACCACAACAATAAATGTGATTGGTTTGACTGTGCCCTGTAAGATATATAAAAGGATTTCCCTGTTATTGTATTGGTACTGACGAGATAATACGAAATGCTAGCATCTGCCAATATTCGTCTTCTCATTTCGTTGTTCAAATAAAATATGTATTTATTGGTTTTTGTTTACGGACCACCACCGTCTACTCCTGAGATGGACTACGACTAGGTGGTTGCGTTGGGGTAAGTGGTAAACAGGAAGTACTGTCATTTACTAGTCACTGGGGACTCCAACCTACGTGCTCTTGAATCACAGGTCACACCAGTGCAATGTGGCAGAGTTGCAAGGTCTGATTACAGACTTCCGATTTAGGACCACGTCACTACGTCCACCAGGTTCAGGGGAACTAACAGGCCATCCATATTGGACCGAATATTCACCAATGGGGAACTGATGGTCGAGAGAGTGATAACCCATACTCCTTAGGTCCGCATTGATCACGCGAAGCTAGTGTTTAATTACATGTGCTACGCGGATTATCCTAAATAGCATGCCGAGGAATATCATGTCGCAACCAACTATGTCGATCAGTCCGACCTCATTGATGTAACAAGCTGGTCATACTTAGCCGTATTGATTCCTGAGATGGCCCGCGGCGAATTCGTCAACATATTTACGAAGCTCGTGGCAAGGACATCTGCAACCAAACTGCCAGCCTAAAAAGATGAAGTCTTTCGTAAGGAGCAGGACACGTAAATACATGGCATTAAGGGACTTGGCATGGCACACCTACATAGCCACCCCGAAAACGATACCTGGGATGTCTACATAATACAAAGAAACCACTGTGGCAAACTAGTTTAGGAGGATAAACTGAAGAAGCAAAAATGTCTAGTGGAAAAGTTTTGCTCCAATCCCAAACGGCTATACAGACATGTAAACAATATGTGCCGTGTTAAGTGCAGTATTCCTGCTCTGCACACAGCGTGCGGGTTAGCCCAAACCGCACAAGAGGCGGCCAAAGTGCTTGGACAACAATTTGGTCATACCTTCTAATGCGAGCAACCACCATACACCCTGCCTAAGCAGGTATCGCCGCCATTAGGGCTTACTCGCATATCCTTCACCTCCGAATCTGTACTGAAGAGGCTGAAGTCTGTGCGCGAGTTCAGTTCCCCGGGTGCGGATAGCATTCACCCGAAGGCGTTGAAAGTTGCTGCCATAAGTTTGGCAGGGATACAAGCAATTTTCTTTCAAGGATGTAGGAACAAGGTGTACGTCCCTACGAAGTAGAAGCGCGGAACCATCAAGCCAATATACGAAAGTGGTAGTCTTGCTGAACCAGCAAATTATCACCCGGTAACACTATTTCATGTAAGCTCAAAGGTTATGGAGTCCTTTGTAGTTGAGGCTTTGGTGGGGTACTTGGAGAACGACAAAATTCTTTTGCCGGAGCAACACGGATTTCGCCAAAACCGACCCTGTACCACTAGTATTTTGATTACGCTTGCATTTGGACGGAATCAGTGGAAGATGGTTAAATCGACACGACCTACTTAAATTTCTCAAATACCTTCAACCGTCTAGGCCATCGCATTCTCCTCCACAATTTCCAGAATTATGGATTCGGCGATCCTGTTCTGGGCTGGATAGGAGACTTTCTCGTGCAACGTCACCTGAGTGTGCGGGTTAGAAGCAACCTGTCGGAATCCATGGAAGTTCAGTGCGGCGTACCTCAAGGCTCGGTACTTGAAACCGGCCTGTTCCTGGTTTTCATAAATGAACGCGCGAGCGTGCTATCTTCTAACGGTTTGCCATTTGCTGATGATCTAGAGGTATGGCGTAGTATAGCTGCAGTGGAGGATCACCCAGTATTACGAGAGAACCTGGACAAAACTTACACATGGTTCATGCCACATACATGCTACATTTCAACATCACCAAGTGCAAAGTTCTCGGCATGCGGCACAAGAGTATGCACAATTACCGCCTATGACCGCAAATTCTACAGCGGCCTTCTAACAAGTGCGAGCTCGGCGTGCTAGTTTAAGATGACCTCGGTCGTTTGAGGCAGCCTCAAAGGAAGCTGAGAAACCAAACCAGTATCACAGCCTTCTTGGCAGAACTTTCGGGAAGTTTGACCCTTCAACCTTTCCAAAAATGCTTAGTGCGTACGTGAGACCGCACGCGGAATACGCTATTCAAGCGTGGCAACTACGCCTCAAGCACCCTCTCCCCGCGCTCGATACTGCACAACGTACGGCAACGAAGAGTGTCAGAGGTTTAACCAGCCTCCCCTACCCACTCAGGCTGAAGACCCTTAAAATGTACAGTGGATCTTATCGACGTCTAAGGGGCGATCTCATAATGGTGCATCTGATCCTGAGAAACCTTAACCACCCATGCCATTCCCTCCTAATACTCAGTCAAAGCACCCCGCTAAGAGGTCAACAGTTTAAGCTTGTCACGCAGTGCGGCCGCCTGGAACGTCGGCGAATCTATTTCTTCTTTGGAGTGTCAGCCTTGGAACGCCCTCCCGGAACACGTAATTAATGCGTTTGTATCTGTCGAGAGGGTAAGCAAATAGACAGGTTATAGATGGAGGTGGCTATATTAATAAGCGATAGCCAGTTAAAATGAAATGGGTGAGCCACAGGCTAGGTGGTTCTTCGAGAACTCTCATTCATGCTACGGTTAAACAGATGGAGCTATGAATAGACAGGCATAAACATTCGAGGCTTTGTGGCCATACTGTGGTGAAACACGGAGTTTAGAAGCAGCATACGGTGTCATAACTAATACTTAAGTAGTTACTAATGAGCATGTGACAGAGACCTTAAGCACAAGACGAAGGAATTGGAAAGATGGCAAGTAGGTTGGTTGTGAGCGATGGTGCATCACAGGCCTAGTGAAAACCCTTTAGTATGAAGCGGAGATGGTCCAGATGCCAGGATGAAAATGGAAATTCTGAGGGTTGATAGCATGCTGGCTTTACAATCTAGATGGCATCCAATTATGATGATGCGATTAGCCAGCGGTTGATGCCTCGGTCTTGCCAGAGATAGGAGGTTTGTGGGAAGACGGCAGCATTCAGTATCCGGTGGCTTGGACCTATGTGCTAGAGAACAAAAGGGGTTGTTGAAGGCAGCAGGCAGATAGTAATATTCAGAGTCCGGGAGGTGATAGTGTGGGAGTGTAAGAAAAGGCAGTTATAATTGGTTTGGTCCGTTTTCGAAAAACGTGTTCCGGACTGTTAATATTCAGTAGGTTGGAAACTTGTGACGGAGAGGTATGCACTTGTATAGAAGCGGAACTGGTTTGTGTTCACAGACGCCCTTATAGTGAGAGATAACCTGTTCCATACATGGGGTATCTGTAGAGGAAGAAATTGAGGCGTATGCTACTTCGCGTTCACGGTAGAATAATGGAGTGAGGTCTATCACGTAAGGGTAGGAAGTGTGGTATGAGTATGAGACAGGGGTCACTGGGCTCCCATTGGGATTATTAATAAGTGAATATAGGAAGGCGAGGCTGGTTTTCAGTCCTCTAAGCCATAACGGGTCGAGTTTAAGTAGGTTGCGTCGAGTACGGTAGCTGAGACGTGAATGCCCAAACGTACGGTGAAGTTTTTTGAGGGCTATTCTGTCGCACTTTCTTAGGTTGATGAATGCTATAGCGCAGTACTCCAGCAGAGGCCGGGCACATGCTTTGTAGAGCGCAGCTCTAG